ATTGGGTTGCTTAATTCATCTTCATTACTCAGAAAACTGACTCTTACATCAATAGTTATTTCATAAATATAATGATGTCTCTGTCATCTAAAATATCATTATTTATAAACAGGTAATTAAAAGTCCTGTGAGTGAGCCTTCACATACGCATGACTCCTGTTTGACATCTACACAGCTTTAGCTCAACTCAATATAGTGTGGAGGCTAAGAGCCTGGGGTTTTGATCCAAATGGCCTGGGTTCAAATCCTAGCTCTGCCACTTATTAGCACTGAGCTCTCAACAAATGTTACTGGAGGAATATAAACCTGTAGACTAGTTGGTGGAAAGAATAAAAGATGAAATAAAAGTTAGAACTGAACAGAGAGGCTTCGGAATACTATATAGCGCTTTCTGGAATTTCAAACATTAAGAAAATCAAGCCCTAACCGGTTTGGCTTAGTGGATAGAGCGTCGGCCTGTGGACTGAAGGGTCCCAGGTTCGATTCTGGTCAAGGGCATGTACTTTTGTTGTGGGCACATCCCCAGCAGGAGGTGTGCAGGAGGCAGCTGATCGATGTTTCTCTCTCATCGATGCTTCTAACTCTCTGTCCCTCTCCCTTCCTTTCTGTAAAAATTCAATAAAATATATTTTAAAAAAAGAAAGAAAATCAAGTGCTTTTTTCACATTTCCCCCTGTCTATTTTCTATCTGGGAATAGTAAAAATAGAGTATATACATTTAAATCTTTAAGGGTTGTCCTGCACATGAAAAACTAAACAAATATTTCAGGTAACATTTTATTGAAGATCTAAATGAAGCCATAAAAGGCAGTCTAAAGTTTCAGGTATCCACATCATTATGAGCATAAAAGTGGGTGCATGTGGATGGATGTTTGTGAATGTATTCTTGAAATTATGTAAATGAGCCTTACCTCAAAGACCAAGATGAAAGGAAATAAAGAAAACCAAGGATATAAAAAAAATGACATAATATTTAAAAACTAGTAAAAACAGCCCATAGTTAGTTTGGCTCAGTGGATAGAGAATGAACCTGTGGACTAAAGGGTTCCAGGATCCATTCTGGTTGAGGGCTCATGCCTGGGTTGCAGGGTTGGTTCCCAGTAGGGGGCGTGCAGGAGGCAGCTGGTCAATGATTCTCTCTCATCACTGATGTTTCTATCTCTCTCTCCTTCTCCCTTCCTCTCTGAAATCAATAAAAATATATTTAAAAACACACACACACACAAAAATAATGAAAACACAAAGTACTCTTATACAAAAACTAGAGGCCCGGTGCATGAAAATTCATGCACTGGAAGGGGGGTTCCTCAGCCCGGCCTGCCCCTTCTCACAGTCTTGACTCTGGTAGCAGGTGTGCAGAGCAGCTGGCCCCGCCCCTGCTGTAGGTGCCGCCATCTTTGTGAGGGTGTGATGGTTAATTTGCATATTACCTCTTTATTATATAGGAGAGAAGAAAGTGAACCAAGTACATTTTAGTTTACTATAACAATATTTGGCCCACAGCAATTTAATGAGTATCCTATATAATAAAAGAGAAACAGGCAAATTATCCATCCCTCTGCTACACTCAAGCCACGCCCACAAGCCACGCCCACAAGCCAATCCTAGTGACTATGCAAATTATCCAATAAAGATGGAGGTTAATTTGCATACGCAGGTGTCAAGCACCCCAGGAGGTGACAGCAGCCTTGGCTGCAGGCTCCTGGGACTTTCACAGGCCCTGGGAGGCGAGGCTGTAGCCACGCCTGTGGGCTTCCGGTACTTTTGCCGGTCAGGGAGCCATGGCCACCAGTGCCTAGCCATTCTTGCAGACTTCTGGGACCTTGCCGGTGGACCTGGCAGAGCAGGAGACCACTGGACATAGAGCAGAGCAAGAGAGAGGGTGGCTTGGAAGGCGCGGCTCCCTCTGTCACCCCAGCTTCCTCATCACAGCTGTGGAAACTGACAGCAGGGAGGTGGAAGTCCCACCCCCACAGAATCAGCCAGAATCAGCCATTGGTCAGACAGCTCTCAGCAGCCTGATAGCCAGGACTCTCACTCACCTGCATCTCAGACTGTGACAGTACAGAGTGGGACTATGTCTAAAGAACAACTGTTGATACAACGTAGCTCTGCAGCCAAAAGATGCCGGCGGTATCCACAGAAAGTGCAGAGCAGCGTGCATCTGATCTTGAAAGAAGGCGGTGCCTGCGACAGGATGTATCTGAACACCAGCTACTGGAAAAATGTTGCTCTGGTGCCGAAGAACACCGGCGTTATCGACAGAAAATGTCTAAAGACCAATGTGCCTTTGAAGTTGAAAGAAGGCGGTGGCGATGACAGAATATGTTGAGAGAACAGTCATCAACAAGTACTACTAATATGCAATCCTCGAACACAGTTGTGATGGAAAGACTGCTCAATGTGAATTTTGCCTATCCCTAAATTTCTTGGATGAAAAACCATCCGATGGGAAATTTACTCGATGTTGTAGCAAAGGGAAAGTCTGTCCAAATGATATACATTTTCCAGATTATCCGGCATATTTAAAAAGATTAATGACAAACGAAGATTCTGACAGTAAAAATTTCATGGAAAATATTCATTCCATAAATAGTTCTTTTGCTTTTGCTTCCATGGGTGCAAATATTGCATGGCCATCAGCATATGGGCCTACTGTTTTAGAGTACATGGACAAGTTTATCACTGTACTGGAACTTTACATCCTTCGGATGGTGTTTCTCAGAAGTTTGCTCAACTCTATATTTTGGATACAGCGAAGCTAAA